AATTGCTCGAATGCAAGAGGTTTACGCCGACATCCAACAAAGTGCCTCCGAGGGTTCCGAAAATTTGTGAACCTCATGTATGTTCTGTTCCTCCGTCAAAAGACTATTTATAGATGTCGTTGATGCCTGTCGGGTCGACCTCCCCGGGCCGTGGATTCGTCCGACCCCAGTGAAAGTAGACCGAGATGGCGTTGAGTCCCGCAGATTTTGCTTTCTGGATGATGTCCCTTCACAGCGACGGGACGGGGAGCCGCCACATGTGAAACTCGCCAGATTGGATGAGGGTGCGGTTTCTGAAGATGAAGAAGCTGTAGGCGTCCCATTCAACGTCCCACCAGTTCCCCCGAGTTCTGCTTGCTTTTATCGCCTTCACTTCCCTTGCCTTCTGCGATTTTTCTCATTTATCTCAATCACATTCAGCACTGACTATGATTTTTGTGTTGCAGAGTTATCGTGCATACTCCTTGCCATGCATTGGCTGGCGTACTGTAAATCCTTCTTCTCCCTTTCCCTCCCCTACTTACTCCCCTACTTTCTGCTTCCCAAAAATGTTGACCCGTTCCTTCAAAATTTCTTTGTTTCTGAATCCTGATCCATACATACATCCGCCCATGATCGTACCAACTACACAAATCCCTCTGCGTTTGTTCTTTCTGTTGTGTTCTCAAGGCACTGACCTTGGCCACAATAGGAGAAGCCATAACGCGCGCCCTGCTTTCCTAATAGACGCGCGCGGAGTTGCGAGTTGCTCCAAAGTCCTTAGAGAGTGTTGGTGACTGGGGAGCCGCTCGGGGAATTTGGGAGTCATCACCACTCCGTTGCCGCCCGGAATCGGCCTGTATTATCGCACAAATTGGGCTCCCCCAACTTCAAGTCAAGTTCCGGGTATTGTCCGAGCCACGTTCCTCGTAGGGTGTTACTATTTTCTGCGCGGTTGCATCGCGGCACAGCGTGAGTTGGATGACTATGATCAACTAACAAGTTCAAATCGCACGACGGAAACTGTGGCGAACACTATCCAATTTCCGACCTGTTCCCGACCGCAACACAACCGCAGCATGGAAATCGCAGACCGACTTGATTATGCAATAGTGATGACTCGTATCGACCGGCGTTCGAATTTAACCGGTGTTCGGAATTTAACCGGTGCGAGGGTTCCTGCTCTTTGATCTCTGTTCCTTCTTTGTGCCGCGGTGTGGCCAGAAACTTGTCAGCCTGAATTTACTCGACGACCCTCTTGTAAAGATCTCTATACCGGTGCCGGCAACCGGCGCAAACGACTCGGAAGTGCTCCGAGTCTCGCTATATAACTCTCGTATTTTCTCTCCAGATGGCATCCTCAAAGTTGCAACTTGAATGGCAACGACTCCCGTCGACCCAAAATCCAACCATCTCCCACGCGGCCAAGCATGTTTCAGTTGCAGGCGTAGAAAAATGGTAATCTTTCATGTTCTCCTCCTAGCTTCCATCGTCCAGTGGCTGACTCTGTATGAATAGAAATGCGATGGGGTTCATCCAGTCTCTCTCTCTTTACAAATGCTTTATTCAACTCTGCTCCATTCAGGTCCACCCCGTATGCGGCCAATGCAAAAGTGCGGAAAGAGACGCCGACTGCGAATACGTACACGGGCAAAAACGTGCCAGAGCCGAGATTTTACAGGAAAACATCGACCAAATCAAACGTCGTATCTACGAACTTGAACATCCTGACCTGAATCATCAACCGACGGTCGTCCTTCAGCAGCCATATCAGTCGGGGACTGTGGGCTCGCCTCTACAGAGCAGCAGTACGTGCTGTTGACTCTCTTTTTTCCAGCAATAACGGATTCAAACTAGTAGATTACGCGCAGTGGGTGTCAGACGAGCCTCCGAGGGATATGGTTCAGAAACTGTAGGAATCTCTTACCTCCAGGTTTCAAACTGGTTAATGTTCCGCTAGTGTTGATTTCTTCCTTGCGTACTCCTCGGAGGTCGGGTTCTTTCTTAACGCCTCCCGTTTCCGTGAGTCTGCATTACTTCGTCACCCGAGAGGTCACCCATCGCGCCCCTCTCCGGCCCTCTTGTGGACCGTGTATCTATGGGGTTTGCGGCTGTCCAAGCAGCCGGAATTAATCGCCCTGGAGCCGGTCTTTTTATCCCGGGCGTTGAATCTTGCGGGAAACGGACTTTCGGGACTTCATCCTCAGAAGGTTATGCACACGCTGCAGGCCGAGATTCTAGTTGCGTACTACTTTTTCGCCTCCGGTCGATTCTTAGAGGGAAAATATGTACGTCTTTACGCACCATTACCCGTCTACGGGGACTCACCTCCACCAGCATACTGCTTCTGCCGTCTCCCTTGCACTCAGCAGCGGCCTCCATATGATTCGATCGGCGAATATTCCATCATCTGTCCTTCCCCCGTCTCAGGACGCCATAGAAGAGGGAGAGCGTATCCACGCCTGCTGGGCCGTCATAATACTAGACAGATCTTGGGCTGCAGTGTTGGGAGAGCAGGCTCATCTAGAGCATCGGCAGCAGATAGATACACCTTGGCCACTCGAAGCAGATGATTACGGAAAGGTAATGTGGTGTTGTCTGAGTAAATTCGTTTCGTTGAGGGCCACCAGGGACTTCTTACTCGGACGGCGCTCTACAGTAACACCTTGCACGAATCCCTCGATAGCATCCCCACTTCCGACACCGGTATGTCGACAATCGCCATGCTTTCAAAGGCGTCCGTGCTTTGGCAGCGGGCAGATGTTCTCGCACGGGACTGGCTTCCAGGTATTCTTCTTCAACGTTGAAATATATCTTGGGGACTCATACTCGACAGATATGACGAGCAGTCAGTCGACTGCCTTTCAAGATTCTTTCGATATCCTCGACGGCAATGTCGACAGCTTTCGTACAGCGCTTATTCAGCCCCACCACATCCCAAATCTTACATCCGCAATGGTGCGCGCTGTGATTGTAGCGCATAGCATCGCGCACACTGCTACGATCAAGCTCCAAAGTATTGCTCCTCTACATGCAGAACCCGGGGCCCGCCAGAAGCGCCTCGTTGCTGCGACTGCTGTGCTGAACATCATTGTTTCCGCCCCGCTGCAGCACTTGGGTTTCATCAACCCAATCATGGGCGTGCGCTGGACCAACCGAATATCCACCTTTCGTTCCTGATTAATACCTCTGTAGACGGTTTGGTTGGCGTCATCACGAGTGCTCTGGGACGAGATCTATGCGCTCCGAACGCAACGCACTACCTGGCAGGGAGACGAGGAGAGTGGGCTCGTAGCCCTTCTAGCGCGCACATTGGATGTTCTTTCCTCCTCATTCTCTGGAAGTTGCCCCTTGCTCGGTGCGTTGCTCTCACTTTTATCCTCTTCTCTGACCGAGGATTTATAAAGACTATCAAATTGCTCGAATGCAAGAGGTTTACGCCGACATCCAACAAAGTGCTTCCGAGGGTTCAGAAAATTTGTGAACCTCGTTTCTCGTGCGCTGCACTCCAGAAACATGCAATTTATAGATGCCTAGGATGTAATTTATTTTCCATCGCTACAACCACATGTACACACCAATTCTTAATCGAACGAGACCCCAAACTCTTGCTAGTCCCCCGTATTATCATAGCCGATAAATCTATGTTTACTTCCTCGCAGTTTCTCCCATCCTGGATCGGCGGCCCGATGTTCGCAACACGCCTTCCAAAACCAAGTTGGGCTGCGTACCTGTAGCAAACTGACGACGGGAGACGTCCTTCGGTAGAATCCGGACAGTACATCATGCTTGACGATCTCCTCGGTGGATGTTGAACATGGAGAATCACAGCCTACGGATATTTCCTACTTGGAGCCTGCACGGACGGGCGCCGATGAGCTCCGACGTGCTGCTGAACGGCGGCATGAGGTAAACTCAATGGATTCTGGTGACAACGGACGGGTGCATGTGGATGAATAACATGTAGACACCGTCTCCAGCGCCCACATACAACGCACCCACCTTCGTAAACACCGTGTCGCAGTTTCGAAAAACGGCGAATGCCGCGAAGACCACATAGTTTCGAGTACGGTTAGATTGCGCTTAAGAGACTGTCATGGATATAGTCATTTTGGACTCAACGACCGTGAGTTCATACTGTTTCGACTATTTCATATTCCGGTTGCCTCACTCCGTGTCAATCCCTACTTCCTTCTTACCTACCATTTAGTTACACTTATTTCAACTCCCTCCTTCCTTACCAACCATCTTCCTAATTTCATTGTTACTATGTTTTAGCTTATATTTCATATATACCTTACAGTATATAAACTGTATGTCTGTGAGATATACAGCACTTTTTTTACCTGTTAACCTCTGCGCTCTAAATGCACCCTCGCGCTTCGCTTAACTGCCTTGCACTCAGTCTAAACGGCTTCGGCGAAAGTCTCGCACTCGTCGAAGCCCGGGACAACATCCGTCGAACGGAATCAGCTAGCACTAGCTGATTCCCACGACAACTCACTAACTGGCGGTAACGAGCTGCGGCTCGTGTGCTAGTTGGTGTTCGCGTTTACCTCGGAAAGCAAACGGTTCCTAGTGAACTTGTGGAATTCCCCCCATTCCATAACAGAGGCCCATGCCAGATCTTCACACAATACAGAATGCTGCCGACTCGGAGAACACCGAGAAGGCCGAAATAGCGCATAGACAGGTTGCCCACGTGGATACTTTGAATATTTTCCTGGGTTTTCTGATGACCTTGAAAAGAATGTGCGGGGCCACTGTGTCTCGCCCCTCTACACCAATATGTGCAGCTTTGCAATGATGAACACCCGACTTGAAGCTATGAGGCTTTAAGTTTATTCAACTGGCAACTGCACCGCTCGAAGTTGAGAATATCACTCCTATTCCTATCGGCCTAATGATAGAAGTATGATACGTGTTGAAATTGAGAGTAGCAGCTCAACTCAGTCAACTTGAGCTCGGAGCGATGTGAATGAAGTGTAGCACGATACTATCCCACCCTCCCACATCGTATCGGCCCAATGGTCTAGTCGTATGATACGCGCTTCGGGAGTGATCCCACGTAATCGGATTACGTAAATGTGCGTGGCCCCGGGTTCAATTCCCGGTTGGGCCCGATATTTTTGTTGTTTTCGCTCGCTTTTACAGTGTCCAGACGGCCGCTTTTGCCCTTCCCAGAGCACGCTCTATGTGTGGGAATATTTTAGACAATTTTGCTTGAGCTTTTTTACCCATGTTTTATTGCACTGAAAAATACCATTTTCTGCACACCAACTTCCCGATTAAGCCCATGAATTTTCCAACTCTATTGTAAAAATCATGTTCCATCTAGTATATCTTGCTTGGGGAGAGAGGAGGACACTGGTGGGGGCAAACGGGAAACAATTAGCTCTCTCGCCTGGACCATAAGGGACCGAGCTTGAGCTATTGGCGTCTCCCCTGTAATAATTAAAGAAGGCGGGAAAATCAGGAACAAAAAAAGAATGTAGCCAATAGAGCTGTAGGGTGTAGATAGATGATGAAGATACAGAAAGAGGCCCTGAGTCTGTTGTAGTGTTGCCTGCTCACGGACTACGAGACACCGCCTACATCCATGTGCAGTGCGGTGCGCCCACACCAACACATGCACCCGACCGGTGATGGGACCCACAGGATTTACGCAAAGCGAGGCCTATATACACTGTAAGACTGAGAACTAGTCATGCGTGATGGGGTTTGATGAATATTCTCAGTTAGCACGAGATTCGAGTTAAGAAATTAGAAATTGCTATTGACCCAGCAAGCGTAAAACTCACGCGATTTATTTCCCTTTTTGGAAGTTTACACCGTGTACTAGTAAATACGAGAGTTGAATCATATAAATCCCTGGCGGGGACGAAATTCTGTTAAGACTCCCCTTCTTTTTCCTGACAGCACATCTGAGAACTTTGGATTGAGTTTTCGCTATTTTTCCATTTTCCCCCGAGAACTCGGTATTCTAGCGCAGGGGAGACCTCCGTGGGCCCCTGGCGCTCGCTGCGTGGCCCACTGCATGGGGGATGCACTCACCGTGGGGGCCCACTGCATGGAGCTTTTATTTTTTATTTTTTTCATGCGTGTACTGATTTTAAAGCTTATTCCTAGTGCGTAATGGTTTTTAGCGCAAGGGCCGGCGGATCCCCGTACTCGCTGCTGGACTCGCTGCGCGGACCCGGCTCAAAAAGAGAGATAATTATTAAAAAGAAAGCTGTGGGGCTCGATCCCACAACATCAACAAAATAATAAACCTTGATAATATTCCACATATCCAGCTAGCCCCTTTACCAAGGAAGTACTATGATACAGAAGCGTAGCAGTGTAGAAGTTATGGGCGTTAAAATCAAACACATTACATGTGCGTAAAAACATGCTGGGTCAACTGCTCAGAGTTTCGAGCTATCTGTCAAACCAGTGGTTCTCTACTTCCTTTTGTGATGATTACCCAATCCTTCCTAATCAGGATTCCGATGGTTGTTTTCTTTGTCTTTTGATCGCATGTGTTGATTTACTTCTCTCCTTCAATACTTTCTTTAATACTTGTTTCATCGATATTTTCGCGTTCCTCTTCAATTTGCCACCATATTGGAATGGTAAAATTCTCCATACCAGGGCGAAAGCAATTCAGGTGTCAAGGAAGTGCGTAAACCAATTTTTTGTAGGGTCTCGACTGGTCTTGAGGTGCGTCGACATGGACGAGCGGATGCAATCAGATTGATTGCGACATATAAGTATATATACCAAAGATTGACTAGGGTGTTCAGTACCTCAATAAAATAATCTAGCTACAAAGTCTGTCAGGGAACGAAATATGAAAGTTGGGCCTTTAACTATCTGAGTACCGTTTTTCGTCTTCAAACGGCGGCGCTAGAAAGGCGTCTGTGTCCTTCATTTTGACGGGAACATAGTTACGCGTCAGCCCGGCCTTCTTACCGTTCCGTATGAAGTTCATCACGCCCAGACAAAGGAGGACCAAGAGGATGAGGAGGTTTGTGGATAGAATCCCAATGATGACTGGGGCGTAGTTGAAAACGGCCGAGTTATCGGAGGACAAAGCGCCGCTGAGGAGGTTGCCTGATGCGACGTGCGGGCATGAGGATGCGCAGCTCGGCCCGCTACTGCAACTCGGCGAGGAGCCAGCACCAGGTGAGGACGGCTGAGGGCCACTGGGAACGGATGCCGCGGGGATCGTATGGTAGAAATCGAATGTCTGAGCGGCTGCTTTTGAACACGACGCAAGTCCGATAGATGCAGTTGTTCCGCTCTCAATTTGGGCGCAGAGGCCACTGCCAAGCAAGTTGATTGTGCACCCCCTCCCCATCAATCCGCCGCCCTCGATCAAGACCTTGTTCGATTCGCATTCGTGACACTCGACGTGCCAAATCTGGGTCCTATGCAAGCGAGTCAGATAATTCGTGGCACGGATGAAATTTGAACGCACTCCGAGGACGTGTCGAAAGGACTCAGAGTCAGCACAGGCATTCCTCCACCCGCTCCTAGTGCATTCACGACCAAGTCAGTGTGGCCGATTTCCCTGGGAAAATATATAAAAAACCAACGCGAAGAATGAGAGCGAGAGGACATACTCGAAAATATACTTGGGTGGGTAGGGCCCCTGGACCGATCCCAATTGCTTGACACGCCATTCGGCGGTCTTGTCGAGCGGCAATTTGCCAAGATCGCTCCGAAGTGCCGTCCCAGAGACGGCTGCGGATACGCCCCACTCTTTGGAACCGGCGATGATGGACACGCCGAGGCCGCCAACATCAGGAGCGCAGGTGCCGCCACTGGACGAGGGGCTACTAGGCGAAGGCGTGCTGCTCGAAGAGGAGTGGCTCGGCTGCCAATGGGAGCTCGGGGAGTCCGGGCTTCCCATTTCAGTTTTGACTGCAGGCCAGAAATCGAACGTCTGCAGACTTGAACCCGAACATGATGTAACCCCAATCGGTGCGGACGTTCCACTCATCATCTCGGCACAGTAGTCACTAGAAACCTGCATGACTGTGCACCCCGCAGCGAGCTGTCCGGCGCCTGGTGCGCCTGGATTAGCTGCGACGTCGGGATAGCATTGTTGGCAGTCTATCTGCCATCTCTGACTCCTACAACACAAACGAGTCAGGCGAGTACCGGGGTAGAATGAATTCGGCACACTGGGAAGAAGAGTCCATAGGGCTCAGTTTCAAGGCTGCTCCCGCTACACTCTGCGCATCGACAACCAGGCTGTCTTTGTTGATGTCCCTAAAATAATTCATTGAGTTCTGAATCGTTGGGAGGCGCAAACGGGAAGATATACCCAAAAACGTAAGTCGGCTGATCAGGAGACGATCCTATTTGCATGACACGCCACTCTGCGCTCGATTGGCCCAAAGAGTGGCTGAGTGCAGTCCCGGCGACATCTTGAGACACACCCCACTGCGAAACCCCTGAACTGGTCGAGACAATTCTAACCTCCAGGCCGGTCAAAGTAGGATTGCAGGTGCGGCGATTGGACGAAGGGCTACTGGGCAAAGGCGTGCCGCTCGAAGAGGAGTGGCTCGGCTGCCAGTGAGAGCTCGGAGAGTCCGGTCTTCCCATTCCGGTGTTGAACGTAGGGAGCCAGAAATCGAACGTCTGCAGACTTGAACCCGAACATGATGCAGCCCCAATCGGCGCAGACACTCCACTCATCAACTCCGCACAGTAGTCACTGGAAACCTGCATTATTGAGCACCCTGCGGCGAGCTGTCCGCCGCCTGGGCTTAGCTTAGATGCGACGTCGGGGAAGCATTGTTGGCAGTCTATCTGCCATCTCTGGCTCCTACAACATAAACGAGTCAGCCGAGTACCAGGGTAGATTGAATTCGGCGCACTGGGATAAAGAGTCCAAAGGACTCAGTTTCAACTGGCCTCCCGCTACACTCGGCGCATCCACACCCAGGGTGTCTTTGTTTATGTCCCTAAAATGATTTATTAAGTTCTGAATCCTTGTGCGGCGAAAACAGGAAGATATACCTAAAAACGTAAGTCGGCTGAGACGCTCCTATTTGCATGACACGCCACTCCGCGCTAGAATTGAGCGGAATTTGGCCCAAAGCGTGGCTGAGTGCAGTTCCGGCGACATCTTGGGACACACCCCACTGCGAACTCCCCGAACTCGTTGAGACGATGGAAACCTCGAGGCCGGCCAAAGGAGGATTGCAGGTGCGCCTACGGTCCCGTTCATTTGCAGCAACGAGCCATGGTTTGGAAATGAGAAGAAGAATGGTTGGGAAAGCGGCTGCCGAGAAGCGCATATTAAAAAGGTGAAAAGGGAAGAATCGGAATAGGAGGCAAACTATTGCATTGTGTGAGTTAAATAGCGCTGGGCCCGACGCCGAGACATTTTTTCATGGTTTCAACTTGTCGCTAATACGAGGTCTAGTGCACAGCCGCGGCGATTAAGGGCAGGGTCACGGTGATTGATTCGCGTTGTGGAACTGAACTGGCTTTTGACGTACCTAGCGCCGAAGCTAGCGGCCAGTGCAAAACGGCATAAACAGCCGGAGTTTCTGGGCCGGCATATCCGAACACTAATACGCCAAAGACTTGGCGTCCCAGATGCTCGCTCAATGCATTCCAGAAAAACAGCACAGATGTCGTCCAGTGCAGTTCATTCGTTTCCAAAAAAGTCCTGCTGGAGAGTTTTCGAAAGATTGCCGACGCCGGTCAACTCTGTGTGTGGTGTGCAACGGTGTCATATGCTCCAACTTCGGAGGTCACTGGACACCAGCCGGCCGAGAATGGGTTGAGGTGGAAGTAATCCATATGTGGACCTACTCCGGTGAAATTATCGTGAAGAAATTCCACGGATCAAACTTTAGAAATCATATGCACCCGCGCCGGTGTTGGATAGGACGAGCCTGACGATACGAACCTGATGTGTACCTATCATGCCGATCCTCCGAACCTATCTCCCAGTGCACTGTATGGCAACGGTACCAAACGCCCACCTGGGCGCCGTGAAACACGAACTCGGCGACGGGCCGTGCGGTATGTTCAGTTTAGCCTGCCACCAATCCCGCCTCCGAGTCATGATTGGAATCCGTCCGCCGCCCGCGGTGGACACATAACAACACCAACAGC